TATTCCACTACTTCCATAGTACTCACCTCACCTTTTTTCTTCCTTTGTGTCTTCTGTTCCCCCCCCCCCTCTCGACTATTTCACTTTGCTGATCCTTCCCCACTATGAAACCTGAAGTCAACTAAAGGGATAATGATAACTATCAAAATGCTTGCCATTTGATATAAATGTTTGCAATGCTGTTTGAAAGATATTCTTGAATTGATGAAGTGTTTGTATACATGCATGACTATTGTGACCAAGATCGCAGATAAAACATCTATAGGAGAATTTGCTGCTTAAGGTATAACCAAACATAGAGACCAAATGATATTGGCAACTTGTGAGCTTCCCAACCAAGCATTTTGCAGGATAGGTTCAAAAGAAGGCATGAGGTGAAAAAAGAGACTTAACCTAATTTCCATATATTATATGGATAATGTTAGCTATAAACAAGCGTAGAAACTAATATATATAACCAGAGTAGATAAAAAAAAGATCGATGGAAAATCAAGCCATGACAACGGGGGAGAGGTAAAGCAACAAATAGAAGACTGTTGTTTTCAGATGTCAAATAACCCAAATACAATTATCAAGACGAGAGCAAACAAACACTCAATTACCCTGTCACTCAAAATAAAGAATATTTTCAAATCACCGTCCAATTATTGGATTTGTTCACACTTCTATATATTAAATTAAAAGGTACAAAAAACAATCATCTCAGCCATTCCTATATTATTCAAACAATTGAAAGGCATGTGAATATAAAAGACAAAATATTGGCGTATGTAACTTTATGCAGAAAATTGAGACAGAAAAAATGTATAAACAGGTTCCGCTTATGGAATAGTAGCAAGATAGTCTTTGATTTCAGATGAATGCAATACACGAAATCCCTTTTCATTACACACGGCGATCTCAATATTATGCTCCGTCATTTGCCCCTCAAAACTCTCCTTTAGTGTCAAAATTGCAGCGTGTACAGCATCTTCCAGTTCCAATTTGTCATTATACCTAAAAGGTAAAATAAATATCCTAGGTAGAAACTTTGGCATAAAATACAAGGCTAAAATAAGATGAAAACAATGAATCTGATAAACCATTACTCGTCAAAGACAAACAAAAATTTCATACAACTATGATAATACCTTTTCTCCAAAAAGTTTTTGCCATTCATTGAATTTTTCCCTAAAGCTGTCGCTTTCCAAGGGAAGTATGTGCCCTTAAAACCAAAAATCGTAATGAAAAATAAATAATTACACATAATGAAAATGTAAAATACTTACAGATGGGTCACACTGATAAAGATATGCACGTTTAGCATTGTGATCCCATCCAGCAATTAGTAAGGAGACTCCAAAAGGACGTACACCACTTATAAAAAAACAAACAATTAGTAAAATAACCGATCACATACCCAGACTGCGTGTATTCTTGCATAACACCGGCAATACGAGCGACAAGTTGTTCGGGCGAAATGGATTCGTCATAGGCAAGTTGGTACAACTGAGCTCTATGTCGAGCCTCTTTCACTAAAACCCTGTAATCTGGAGATAGACCACTGTAGACCATCCCAACGCTTTTCGTTACTGGTTCAATGCGGGTAATCGAAGATTCATCAATTAATTCCGAAGTAAATTTTTTCTCCACAGCAAGTACCACACCATTTGAAGCGCGAATTCCCACTGATGGTGCACCACTTTCGGCGGCCTTTAAAGCATATTCAATCTGAAGTAATTTTCCCGATGGGCTAAACAAAAATAAGAAACACTTGGTCGAACCTGAATGTTGTCAATGAAAAGCTATATCGCTCGGTCATGACTAATCTTTTAGCCAACAGCCAATGATAATTAAATCAGGCGGTATTTAACGATTGAAATAAACAAAAATGAATATTAAAGCATTTTATAAAAATACAGATTTAGCATATATGAATCGATCAATATGCAAAAATTAAATCATAAATTTAATATCCTATATAATAGATTATTGCAATTTGTATGCCATTAAATATCAAGGAAATAGATATGGTCAATTTTGAAGGTTTTGATAATTGAAAGATGTTTATGTTGGTGGCTTACATTCACACATAAGGAGCATGGATTTTTTATTGTCAATACTCTATATTATCACAGTGCTAGTAATTTCACACAACTCACCATTTTGAATAACAAAATATCGGTAAATTAAACCGGCCTTAGATGGACAATATGGTCGTTTGCCCATCCCTCCTGATACATATCTAAGAGATTTTCGGACCACTCACAGTTGTAAATATCATTGCCCATTATGCAAAATTAGCTACGATGGTCAAAGAACGAATCCAAATGGACATTAATTCAAGACATTTTTGATTGGCATATCACGAAAAGCATGGCAAAAATAAAAAGAGTCAGAAAATACGAATACGAGATGTCTATTAGCGCTAATTATTTCGATTCGCCCTAAAGCGTTTATAAACAAAGATAGCTAGAAAAAAGTTCAAAAACAGTGTAGAGAAGCCTCCATAGTTTTCTTTGAGAAAAGCAAATCCGACGTAAAACAATCCGCACATAACCATCTTCATCATCAATTCTTTATCCATTTCAGAAGCTGTGCAAAACAACAAAAAATCCACAACGGCTGGAATAGTCAACTCGACTGCCAAAACTCACGAGCGTGATTTTGAAATATCCGCTTTTGTTTATACATTTATTTATTCAAGTGGGCTATTCGGTCTAAAATCTAATTTTAATGATATCTGAAGTTACAAAATTAATACATTTTAAAGTAATAGATTACCTCTTTACTTATTTTACACATATGGTCACATTCGTTCAATATTTTGCTTTGTTACTTTAATAATACTTAAAATATTTTTATAATGAAAGAGATTTACAAAGATTTAAAATTAATTTTTATGTATAATTGGCATTATTTGTAGTATAGCTGCATCTATAATGTTAATTTTATTGATTATCAACAAATGATTATTTTTGGTAGTTTTTACTTCAAATACTAAAGCTAATTAATCACTTTGTTTTAACAACTAACTTAGGTTACACAATTCGTAAGATTATTCAGGCCTAGATCCCTGTCACCGGAGATTTTTGCTACCCGTTTAAATATCTCAATAGAGGCAAAATGTATATCACTCAGCACCTCTCAACAATATGTAATTAACACATAGTGACTCAAAGCTACACTACACGTGTTTTAAAAGTACAGAACATAAATTAATTAACAAGCAAAAGCGTTATTTATACACAATAAGTATTTATTGCAGTTGCCATTAAACGTTACTGCTTATAAGCAGCATTAAGTTAAATTAGTTTAATATGTTGCAAAAAAGTATAATTGAGTATAAAGCGTGATTATATGTGAAATAACACGGAATCGTATAAATCGAAATAAGGCTTTACCTTTATCATTTAAAATTCAATCCACTTGTAGCACTGGCGACTACTTTATTTATTCCTTAGCATTTAGCCTCATAAGAGATGTTTTGATCTTTTCAAAAGGTTGGAGTGGTTGTCTTTTACTGATTATTAAAATAATTGTTGTCGTGGAGAGAAAAATAATAGGAAACATTTTAAAAGGCAATCCTTGTTACATATCATTAGTGTATAAGGAGATAGTAAGCACAGCACGAATTTTCAAAAATCTGGTTTCGATAAGCAAGTATGAAAGAGGGTTTTCGAAAAAGTTGACATTAATTACAGGGAGATGAATGTGGGTGAATTGAACATACTGGCTAGAGGAGCATTTGAATGGACTGAACAATTGCCAAATCCTCCTGACTTAACCCCCAGAGGGTATCACCTATTCAGCCATCCGTTCTAAGGCACTCACCCAACGCGAGTTTATGCGAACATGGCTTTCGAGCTTTTTCTGTGTGTATTCTACATCTATTCACTATATTCCTCTTGCGCGTTAACGCTTAGGCAGGAAGGGTTGTTTAAATGTTGTGTAAAAATTTAAGTACATGAAGTCTGAAAGATGCACGAAGTGAGGAACCTATGATTTCAAGTAGTAAGAGAAGCCAGGAATTAACCTTGTGTTGGCTTTGCCTCACCATGAGTGATATCGATCTTGGACTTTATAGCCGCACTGAGCTCTCAGTAGAACTTCCTCCTTTCTTCACACTGCGAGCAGGTGTACGCTCCCGTTTGGTCCTTCAAGTATACGAGTCAACTTATAGTCCGTTTCAGCCATAAAAGAGAGCTGTTTTGCACTTGTGCAAATAGTTATTGAAATGGAATAGTCTGTTAGATAGGTCATTAAATATAGTCATCTGAACTGTCTTTCTTTCCATTGATATGACAGATCTTTCATCTTTTAATGGTTTACAAAGTCAGAAATTGCAAATTTAAAGCGACTTTCCTTAAATTACCTGTTCCCAAGGGCTAATCTGTTTTCCTCTTTCTCACTATGGATAAACCATCCCATTTACTTGCTGATATGGAATAAGAACTTCACTTATTGTCTCACACATTTGTATCCGTTAAACAAAGATTTGAAATTCAAGGCAGTTAATTTACTCCAAGCATATCATCTGTCCGGTTTTGGACGACTGTTATCATGGTCTTTACTAGTACATCTCTGTCCTTTCTTGGTGAAATTACTAATGATTTCAACCTCTACCTATTCTATTCAGATAGTATACTCTGCAAGACCACACGCCTTATCTTTTGTGGCATTGGTTTCCTTGTTATTTATTGGAATTTACGAACTACTCAATACGTTTCAATGAGAAAGATTGATAAAATTCCTTACTGAACCAACTATTATCTTCCTTCCTAATTCATTTGAGCTACCCAGAAATAGGCTATATACTACCTTCGCTGAAACGACTCACTTACATTTTGAAACCGCATTAATTTAAACATTTCTGGACAATTAAGGTTGTTATTACTACCATTTCTCTCATTACCGTGACGTCTTCTTGCTCGGCGTTCCTTGCTTGTTACTAGTGTTCTCGCAGTTCGGAATTCTCAAATCTGCTGACAGGTACATTCTCTTCATGCATTTTCACCATAATTGCGTTTTTAGGATTGTGCGATAGACTTACCTCCACGTGGCACACCCTGGGCAACCGTATACTCATGCGACAAAAAAGTCTATTAACCGGTAGTTGACTTCTGACTTCAAAGACAAAAAAGTCTATTGATCGGCAGTTGACTTCTGACTTGCAAAAAGTCTATTAACCGGTAGTTGACTTCTGACTTCAAACTACCATGGCGCCACTAGATGTCATATTTGACCCTTTTCACTACCTTTGTGTCTGTCTGACTCCTTTAAATCTGTGAATCATTATTTTGTCCCTCTCTCGTCTTTTTGTCACTTTGATGTTTCTCATGTTCTTTATGAAGCCCGAAGTCTGCTAAGGGGCTAATGATAACTATCAAACGCCTGCCATTTGAAACAAATAAAAAATTACGTTTTTTATCTCTTTTTCCAAAGCGTGTATTAATTTCTATAACCGCTTCTTTTAGAAAACGTAAATCTGCACTCGGATTGGCGAAGGCCTTCCTGGTGACTTTTTCCGATTCCAATCTTCCGACAATGCCATCAACACTAACGAAATTATTCGTTGATTATTCAAGTATTAAACCACCGGAAACGCTCGACTCTACTATGAGTGCAATGACCCCGAAAGCCAATTTATGTTCTGTCATTAACTCCCTTGCGGATTTATTTATTTACATGAGCTACACTGCGAGATACAAGGCTATGTTGGGTAAATAGCTTGGACTTCAGAGACTGGCCAATATAGGCAAACTCTTTCAAATCAAGAACTGTATTACTGCGAATTTCGTTCCAACAGCACATTATATGGGACCAAGTATATTTTTTTCATAGATGTAAAAGAGGCAGGCAGACACAAGGGTAGAGAAAAAGGTAAGATGAGTACTGTGTTAGGGGTCGAATATAACAGGTAGTGGGGCCATGGTAGTTTGAAATCAGAAGTCAGAAGTCAACTGCCGGTTAATAGACTTTTTTGCCGTATGAGTATACGTTGCCTGGTGCACCACGTGGAGGTAAGTCTATCGCTCTTCTGTTCCCCACCCCTCGACTTTCTTTTACTT